CTTGACGTCCATTCCAGGAGCAGTTCTCCTCTGATCTCATCCAGCTCTGGTTCTGCCTTGGGTGTCAAGACAGGGCCCTGGGAAACCTGTGTATTCTGGATGCATGAGTGATTTGGAAGGCTGGGTGTCCGAAGTCTTAATCTGAGGTCCCTAGAAGTAGCACTCCAAGAAAAGTCATGACAGACCAGCACATGGAGTGTAGGGACGATGTTCCGAGCATAAAGACTTCTGGGGCATGGAGCCATTTAAGGAGAAGAGGGTGGGACTTGGGTGTCAGGGTAAGGAGCTAGAATGAGAGATGGCGTTCTCCAAGGAATTTTTGTGGAGTGGGAGGCCAGGCCAATGAGGGATGAGGATAATTGTCAGGTTAACAATGTGTCCATAATCCTCCTCTTAGTGTGCTCATCCTTAAAAAGCAGAGCAGTAGAAGATAATCTAAAATTTTGGAAATGACACCTTGGATTTTACAAGAACCTTGGGTGCTATCTGCTGCCCAGACCTTTGCAGGAGAGAGTTCCCACTGAAGAAGATCCTGACACATGTGCACTTGCATGTGGTCAGGACAAATGACTAAGAAGTGTGCTGTCATATCCTTAAAGATGGCCATAATTAAAAACAAAAAAACAAAACAAAACAAAACAAAAAAAAACGACAAGTGTCCATGAGGGTATAGAGAAGTGGAGTCCTTGTGCAGTGTGGCAGCACTCCTATGGAAATGTGGTAGTTTCTGAAAACATTCAGTAGATTGACCAAGTGACCCAGCAGTTCCATTCCTAGGTAAATACTAAAGGAACTGAAAATGGAACAAGTATCAGCATGATTCACAGTAGCCAAAAGATGGGGAAATGTCCATCAACCGAGGATGGGTAAAGAGAAGGTGGTGAGTTCATTCAGTGGTTATTAATCAACCTGGAGAGGAATGAAGTTCTGACAAGTACCATAGCACAGATGAGCCTTAAGAATTTTATGCTAGGTAAAATAAGCCAGATACAAATGACAGATATAATAGATTTCTGTTTATGTGAAATGTTCCGAACAGATAAATCTGTAGAGGCAAAAATCATTAGCAGTTGCATTTAGGGAAAGGATTAGGGGGAAATGAGTGATAACTACTGGCCACAAAACTGCTTTGGTGGGTGATGAAAATGTTGTGGAGACAGAGATGTGAGGGTTGGTTATACATCATTGTTTGAATGTACCAGATGCCATTGAACTGTTTACTTTTGGAAAAAGTTTATGTGAATTTCACATTAATAATTTTTTTAACAAAGTGGCTGGCATTTTTTACCAAGATAAGTGATGTACTTGGGTGTTATTTATTAACAAGGTGTGCTGGATAGCTTTAGTGTCAACTTGACACATCTGGGTTGAGGGCATTTTTTACCAAGATAAGTGATGTACTTGGGTGTTATTTATTAACAAGGTGTGCTGGATAGCTTTAGTGTCAACTTGACACATCTGGGTTGAGGGAGCCTCAATTGGGGAATTTCCTCCATTGAACTGGCCTGTGGCCATGTCTGTGGGACATCTTCTTGATTGTTGTGTGATGTGGGAGGGCCCAGCCCACTGTAGGTGGTTTCACTCCTGGGCAGGTGGGCCTGTGTTGCATTAAGAAGCAAGCTGAGCAGGGGTCAGGGGAGCAAGCCAGTGAGCAGCATTCCTCCATGGCCTGTGCTCCAGCTCCTGCCTCCAGGTTCCTGCCCTGAGTTCCTACTTTGGGCTCCTGGATGAACTGTGACCCAGGAGATGTAAGATAAAAATAAACCCTTTCCTCCCCAAGTTGGTATTGGTCAGAGTATCTTGTCACAGCAATGGAGACACAAACTAGGACAGAAGGTGACCCATCTTTGAGACCATGTGCTGCCTGGTACAGTAGCCCTTAGCTTCTGGTAACAGCCAGTTAGACATTTGACATTCATGTCTGACTGAAGAATGGGCTTATTTTAATTAATTCATATTAAAAACCTGTTAGCTGGTTGTGGCAACTCATGTTTTTAATCCTAGTCCTCAGTAGGCAGAAACAGGAGGATCATGATTTCAAGACCAGCCTGTTTCAAAAAACCAAGTACTGAGGGACTGGAGAGATGGCTTAGGGGGCAAGAGTGTTTGCTGTGCAAGCATGAGGACTTGAGTTTGAATCTCTCAACACCCATGTCAAAACAAAAAAACAATAGGGCCTGGAGAGATGGCTCAGTAGTTAAAAGCACTGACTGCTTTTGCAGAGGTCTCAGGTTCAGTTCTCAGCACCCACATGGCAGCTAACAACTGTCTGTAATTCCAGTTCCAGGAGATCTCACATCCTCTTCTGGCTGCTGTGGGCATTGCACAACATAAGTATACTTCCATGCATGCAGGCAAAATAGTCAATGCACATAAAATTAAAAAAATAAAAATAAAAACAAAAAACTGGACACGGCTTCTTGTACCTGTGGCCTTAGTATTGGGGGTAGGGTCAGATGAGCTAGCAGATCTAGGAACTTACTGGCCAGCCAGGCTAGCTTCTGATTCAGTGAGAGACCCTATCTTGAGGGAATAGGATATGGAGAGCAATAGAGGAAGACATGACATCCTCCTCTGACCTCCACGTGCACACACAGGCATCATACATACTCATACACACTACATATACAACACACCCCCTCAAAAAAAGAAAAAAAGAAGAACTTGGAATGTAGCATAGTAGATTACTTTTTCTTTCCTTTCTTTTTTTTTTTTTTTTTTTTTTTTTTTAAAAAGGGTAGCCCCAGCTGGGAATGGAAGAAAGATATTTTTTTTTTTTTTCCTTTTTTTTTTTTTTTTTTTTTTTTTTTTGAGACAAGGTCTCCCTGTATATCCCGCTGGCCTAGGACTATGTAGACCAGGCTGGCCTCAGTCTCAGAGATTCCCCTGCCTCTGCCTCCAGAGTGCTGGGATTAAAGGTATGCACCATCATGCCCAGCACAGTTGTAGGTTACTTATCTGGCATATACAGGGCCATGAGTTTGATCCCTTGGGACTACAAAAACTTTTGAGAATTTATGAAACCATTTGCGCATGTTCCTGTAATTTTAAGTTTTGTGAAATTAAAGACAAAGTATTTGTGATGACAAAAAGGACAGGATTTATATTGAATGTTGTTAACATTTACTAGGAACACCTGGATAGCATGGGGCACACCTATTCCAACCCTCACTTGTAGACTTGGCAGTGAACTCCTCCCTCACTCCTTGCAGACAGCAGTGATCCCTCTCCCCTGCTGAACAGACCAGAGCCTTGTCCTGGCCTTCCATTTCCCCCTGTGTCTGTGAAACCGTGGAGTCAGGCATCTGTGTGGACCTGGAAGTGGACTGGAGTCAGGTCTGTGTGGTGTACAGAGACCTGGGAGCAACAACAGCCAATCCTGGTAGTTCTGGGTTGGCCCTCTAGTGCTACTGATGAGTTCGTAGCAGAGGGTAGTTCTGCCTTGCACAACCCAGATTTGGAGGATTTGTGTTTATTTTAAACAGGGATAATAGTGTGTGTTAGAGTTTGTGAGTTCTAACAGTGTGTTATTATACATCTCAAAGATCATTATTGATGGAGGTAAAAAGATTTCTTTTCAGCAGTTAATAGTTCTATAAGCACCTCAGAATCTCTTCTGGAATAGAAAAGCAATGTATTTCCCACTTGGAAGGTTTTTTTACCCCACCAACTTGATAAAAAATAGGGTAGAATTCTCAGCGTTAGCATCTCTGGGGCTTAGTCAGGATCACTCTCTCATAAAAAGTCAGTATCAGGCCAACTGATTGGAATATCTAAGATAGGTTTGTCTTACATTTAAATTTAACTTGGCAGCTCCAGAACAGAAGCCCGTTACTGGTGGTGCTTCCATCATGGGGTGGGTGCTGCCCCTGCTCTTTATCCTGTATACCCTGGGCATCAGAAGTGAAGAGATTTGAGATACTGATGTCATGTCATGATTACAAGCTTTTCTATGGCTTTTCCAAGTTCTGGAAACTTTCTCCACTGCATGTTCCTGCACCTGTCAGTTCATCCTCTTAGATGATAACGTTCTTGAGGACTGACCTCAGGGTCTAGCAGATTGGGTTTAACAGCCCTTTACCCTCTCTGTGAACAGTAAGTGGTTTCATCCCTTCAGAGAGTTATTGAACAAGGTGCGCAAGTACCCACTTTGGCCACTCTGGTAAGAATTTCTTGATGAACTCAGCCAGGGGCCATGAGGGATAACAGCCAGTGTCTCTGGTTCCCTATGTCCCTTTAACCAGAGGCCCCGGGAAATGGTTGTCCTGTGCCCTACCTTGTGTCCTTGTGACAGACAGGCAGCAGCTGGTGCCCTTGGACACCAGCTTTACAAAGATGCCTCTGATGTTCCTCATTACTTTCTTGTTGAAATTCCACTTGGCTTTTGAGTTGCTGTGGTCTTGGCATGAGTTCTGTAGACTTCATTGCTAAGAGCTGCTATCCTAAGATGGGGTCCTTAGAAGATCCTGTCATGAATCAGGCTGTACCTTTCATCTCTCAGGTCCTGCCTCCCCTAAAGGGAACAAGAGATTCGGTATTCTTGGAAGAAAGGTCATTGCCAAGGGAGGTACTTGATTGAGCTGGGCAGATGCAGGCCTATTCATGGTAGAGATGCAGCAGGGTAGGTAGGAAGGCCCAGGCCCAGGTCCTGCTGGAAGGAAGACATCTTTTAGAAAACAATGTCTGCCTAGTAAGTGTGGGCATACATGGTAGGCAGTGTTCTTACTCTGAGGACTAAGACCTACAGGGTCCAGGTCTTCTTAAGTGCCCCCACTCAGGCTCAGAGGGTCCTGTGAGTGACCTCATATACCCACCTGCCTAGACAGCCACCTCCCTTTGAACAGGTCCTGGGCTCAACCTGGGATGTCTGCCCTTCAGTAGGGTCTGCTCGCTCCCTACTAGTTCGGTAGGCTCAATGCATAGTGCTAAGTACTCTTTCCTTAGTGGCTTAGGCTGCCTCCTGCCATACTTGATACAAGTTTCTGTCTTGCTTGTCCTAGGTGAACCTGAGCAAGGTGGGCGAGTATTGGTGGAATGCCATCCTGGAGGGAGAAGAGCCCATCGACATCGACAAGATCAACAAAGAACGCTCCATGGCCACTGTGGATGAGGAAGAACAGGCGGTCCTGGACAGGCTTACGTTTGACTACCACCAGAAGCTGCAGGGCAAGCCCCAGAGCCATGAGCTGGTATGAGCACCATAGTCCTCCTTATGCTATCAGTAAGCAGGCTGTGGTGCTGGTGGGGAGGAGAGCATGTGAATGGGCTAGCTCTGCCTTGCCCTGCTGCAGCACATAGCTTCTCTACTGTGTCCTGCGAAGGAGGCCCACCAGCCCATGTCTCTTGTTTCTACCTGAGATGCACACTGGTATTTCAGTCACGTTTTCATACTTGAACTGAGAATTCTAGTAGCACAACCTTGAGGGTATTTCAAGATGCACCCTGGCCACACTGTTGAGTGTTAACAGCTATCAGTGCCTCATCCGCAGGCAACTTCCCTGGAACCCGGAGGGCCTCCTGGTGAAGAGGGGAGGGCCAGATTGTAGGGCCAACTTAGGTTCTGACTACAGAAGCTAATTCATAGCAAGTAGATGAGTAAAGAAAGTGCTGGGGCTCTGGTGAGGGAGTGTGAAGTCAACAGCTCCTGGGAAAGCAAAAGCCTGACTCTGACCTGTTAGAGGCACAGCCCCACAGGCACTAACTCATGGCAAAGAACATCACCTTTCTTCTTAGCTTAATAATCCTGAGAGTAGCTACTTAAGGAGGAAAAGGCTGCAGTCCAGGCTTCTTTTTACCATCAAATGCCTAGCCACACAGCACTGCAGTTTGGAAACAATGTGATTATGCACATGGACCAAGTGCAGCCGAGATGCGGGGCAGGGGGGTGAGGCAAGGAAGGGATCAGCACTGGGTACAGCCTGCCTTGAGAAAGCTGCTCAGGCTTGCATGTGTTCCCTGTTGTCTCTAAAGGAGCCTTACTTTGTGATTTGTGTGGATTGCCCCATCCTTGCTCTCCAGAGTAGCATGTGTACATTGGGGGCAGGGGTATTTGATATGCTCTGTTGCTGCTGTGGTCTGTCTTCATAGACATGTTCCCTGTCTCTGTGAGGTCAAAAAGTCTATGGAGGCAGTACTGGCATCCTCACCCCTGCCCCCAGGGCATGTAATGAGCTTTCACTATGCATAGGCAGAGAGAGTTAACTGGTTGTGGGCCCCTGCACAGCAGCTCTAGGCAGATGGTCTTTTTTTCACAATAGAAAGTTGAGTTTTTGAGGTCTTAGAACATGTTGAGGGCCTCACAGCAGCTCTAGCAGCAGGGCTGGGGTTTACTACTCTGTACTGGCTCTGCCTGCCCCAGGTCCATTCCTCTATGAGAGAGAATGTTCCTCTCAGCATGGCACCCTCTTTACCTGAGGATGGTGAGGGAAATGTCCTGGAACCTCTCAGGTAGCAACCAGGAAGCTTACAGCCCTTACCTTCGCAGAGACAGTCAGACCTGCTTGGTCACAGCATAATCTAGTCATGTGGGCCTGTGGCCACTGAACAGAAGTCCGTTTGTGAGCCTTAGCCCTGTGGGTGGGACCTTATGAATCTGTTTTGCTGTGTCCAAGATCAGGGCTGTCCACAAAAGGGCTCAGATATATACATGAGACTGCCAGGGAAGAGTGTTTTGACGGGTGAAGATGAATGCAGTTGCCATTATCCTGGGTGGGTTGGGAGGAGGCGCTACCAAGTACCCTCAGAAGTATCTGTGCCACAGGATGCAGAGACCAAGGATGAGTGACTCTTCACACCTTCCCCAGATGCCATGACTGAGTCTTTATTATAGAGAAATACTGTGTGTGTGTGTGTGTGTGTGTAAATTTATATTTATATATATTGTGGTTTGAACTGCCTTTGTGCATTGACCCCTGGTGAGGTCTCCTGTAGACTTTAGCTGTGAGGTATAAGAAAGGTTAGAATGTTCTGCAGCTGTGTTTACCTTGGTTCTCAAGGTCCCTATAGTTGCCAACAATGCAGGATCTGCATGGTGTGTCAGGCTTCTTACTTCCTGTCTCCTTTTCCCTTCCTGTATCCTTCCTCTCCTTGAGCCTTGCACTCATTCTGTCTGTGCCCACCCCACTTTTCTTCCTTTGGTGATGTCCTCTGGCATGACCTTGTCACCCTCCTCAAGGAGAGCTGAGAGAGGGCTGTTCAGTTTGCCTCAGTGAAGGGAGACACAGGTCTGCCTTCAGGATGTTAATCTGATCTTATCCAAAGAATAGTTCAGCCTCGCTTTGCTATCTCAACAATAGTCCTCTGCAAAAAATGTCTGCTCTGTTTCCATCCCTGCAGGTCTGCCACTCAGGACTGGGAACAGGGTAGTAGGTTTCACTCTAGCAAACTGAAGCAGCTTTCAGAAGTTCTGGCCACAAGCTCACATCAGGATCCTCACTGTCAGCCTGGGATGGGCTAGCAAAAAGGGTCAGTAGATGATGAGGATACATGACGTATGTTTGCACCAGTCATATACACATAATAGATGCAGCCTCCCATGTGTCCCTTGCTACCAGGAATCTGTCTCACTGCAAGGGCAAGGCATTGGGGATGCCTTATTTCTTTATGGGGAAGCTGCCCTCCTGGCCCCCAAAACACTGCAGAGACCTGAGTATGGAGGTCTCTACAACAGTGCATAGAAAGCTTGTCCATGGCTGATGTGTGTGACCCAACACTTGGAAACTGAAGGAAGTAAGCAACAACCTAAGAAAGATAGACCCTAGAAGTGGAAAGATCTCTGTTTAAGTCTGAAGCGATTCTGCTTTGTACTTGCCATGGAACCTGGCAGGGGTCCTTGGGGAGATGGGTTTGCTTGCCCAGAAGGGGGCCCCCTATGAATCCTTCAAAGAGGCTAGAGCTGGCAGTGTATGGGTAGAATCCAGTATGATTCCCTCACTGGGCCTAGCCTAATCTTGGATGACCAGGGGCCTCTAGTCATGGTTTCATAGTCATGAGCATACCTCTTAGGGCTGTGTTAACTCAAAAGAAGTGTCCCACCACCTGCCTGATACCAGTACTGAAGCCTCAGCTTCTTTCTAGGCCTTATAAACAACTCACCAGCACACAGGGGCCCTAAGTGGAGGTTCCATATAAAATATCTTTAGCTCCTTTTATTGAACAAAGATGCAGAGCTAGAAAGGTAAGTCCATGCCCTTGTGTCCCCTGATACAGCAGGTTAGCCACATGAGGGATGCCTCAATAGGCAGGGCGTTACATGGATGGTTGAAGTGGCTTCTCCAGGATTACCAGGACTCACTAGTGGAGAGAGAATGGAAATGGGGCCAGGTTCTCCTGTCAGCCTCCATCTGCTGTGCACATTGGTATAGTCACAGTTACTAACATGCTCTGGTACTGATGCCCATTTATGGTGTGAACTCAGAGTTTTCTAAATTTGCCAGAATTTCAAATTGTGCTTCTGATGCCACCAATGCTTTGTATCTTGAAATATTTTAATTTTGAAGTGGTAACACACCTCTTTCTGTTTTAAATTCTTTGATGTCACTGTAAAGTCACCTCTTTCCAATGTCAACAAATGTAATACTCTTCATCTTTTTTCTAGTTAAATTTCTTTGAGCAGGTGTCCATTTAGAAGGGGAATGTGGAATGCACAGGCACCACTGCTGTCTGTACTCAGTTGTGTGTGTTTAGGAATTCTCCAACCTGGCGTGACTCATCTCCTAATAGTCAGTGACTGACATTGCACAGTGGCTGCCAGTATTTCCTATGGGTGAATTTGGTGACACACAGAACTGCCTGATCTCTACCTTTGCCCTGGGGAAGGGCTGAACATTTATCCTGGCATCATGGGCTTCCTATTGTGAGAATAAGCCTACCAGCCTGCCCTTTGCACCCTGGGCTTGCTATAGTGAGTCCCTACTCAGATACCAGATTCCCACAGCTTCTGCTTGCCCTATAGTTGGCTGGGGCTCTGCCTAGGAGCTCAGGGGCTTCTTGCTTGGGTTGTTTGGTTGTCTCTTCTTGCATTTGGTTGAGACTGTACAATCTCTCACTTCCCATGGACAATGGTGGAGGCCAGGACTTTCAGGGGTGCTTGAAAGGGGCTTCCTGCAGACTCTTTGCTCCCCAGCTACTTGGTAGCTGCCACTGTAATACCTTCTAAAGTGGTGGCTGTCAGGTCTTTGATCTGGCACCTGTAGGAAGCTGAGAAGGATACTGATCATTCCTACTATGTGCTAAGTATCTTTAATATGCCTGTTGAGACTTAACAGGTTTAAAAAGAAAAAAGCTCCCTTGTTGAGACTTAACAGGTTTAAAAAGAAAAAAGCTCCCTTGCCAGGAAGGTTAGATTTTGTTTAACAAGCTCTGGTTCTGAGAATCCAGCAGCTTTGCTGCCATTAGGAATTGTCCTCATTTTTCCAGTCTGTCATTTGTGGTAAGGGAAGAGACACTTGTCTTGTGCCCTTGTTCTGTGGGATTGTGTGCAATAGGGACTGTATTGGAGGATAACCTTTGGCCATGCACCTTGTTAGTCTTTTTGGTTTCTCATGGTTGGAAGGAGGGAGAGATCATCCTATCCTTGGATAGGCTTGTGGTGGCAGGTGAGGAAGGCAGATGCTCAGAGGAAGGAGGGCCCACCAGTTTAGGTACAGGTGTTGCCCTCAGGGGCACAGACTTCCCACTGTCCCCTGGCTGTAACCACAGAGTTCTCTGGTCTGCCCCTAACCTTTCCCAATGGCCAGCTAAGTCCACCAGCTCTCATTGTGTCCCCAAGAACTCATGGGGGCATTTCTGACTACCAGGTCCAACAGCTGGACATTTTGAGGTCTCTCCCTCTGCATCATATCCTGAATCAACCCTATATTGTCTGATGATGCATTTCTCAATGACAAGAACTTCTTCCTTGGGAAGGGGGTGCTGGAACACCTCTGTATACCTTAGTCATGTCCACAATGGAGTTGGGGCACCCTCTTTGTACACTTTAATCATCTCCATGGGGACTACTGAAGGCTAATGGGAAAGGGACAGAAGATGAACCATGAAGAGCACCCAGTGTTTTACTGGAAACTGAAGCCAAACTGCTAGAAATTCAGTCTGTGGGGATCACAGTCTTGCCGAGGAATTGGCAGTCACCTGGTGCCTCTCCTGGGCATAAGCTGCTGCAGGACATGAAGTCCTCTGGCCTTTTGATCCTGACAGACAAGTCCCGAGGAAGCAGGCCATCCTGCAGGCAATCTGTTCTGGGAGAAAGCATGCAGTGCCGTGTGATCTCTAATCTCTCTTATTTTCTGTTTGTAGAAAGTCCATGAGATGCTGAAGAAGGGGTGGGATGCTGAAGGTTCTCCTTTCCGAGGCCAACGATTCGACCCAGCCATGTTCAACATCTCCCCAGGGGCTGTGCAGTTTTAATGACCAGAAGGAAAGGAAACCCTCACCACCTGAGAGGTGGAGACCTTGTCCCCCTCACTCCCTGCATGCCAGGGACTACACTCCTCCTGCTTACTCCTAGCGATTCTTTCATGGATGAACCAGGCCTTTCACACTGACCTTGCACCTCCAAACTATTCCAGAGAAGGTGCAGGGCCAGCTGCTACCTGGCAGCCTCTGTGACCAACACTAAATGAAGGTGTTTGAAATGCAGGAGGGACACGTCCCAGCAAACTGGGAGCACATGCTTTGTCTCCACAGCAACTGGCCACTCAGGCAACATTTTCTTCCTCCCTTGCTCTCTGCTTGCTGTTGTTTTGATGCTGTTCTGCTTGCTTGTCTTCTGAGTGGGGGTAGGCAGTTGCTGGGCTCTTAGACAAAGCTAAGTTGAAGTGTGTGGGGTCAGGCATCTGCATGAGGGCAAATGGGGCATGGCTGTGGAGCTGATGCTGGGGCTGCTATTGGACCCTCTCATTACTTGACCTCATCCTGGGTATATTTGTGTGTAGTCTTATCTCTTTGTGAATGCACTTAGCTTGCCTCAGCTTCATAGGCAGAGCCTCAAACTGGAGTCTATTTGCCTGTTCCAGATGTTGGCAGAAGGTTTAGCCTCAGGCCCAGGTGTGGCAGAGACACTCTCTGCCTGCTTGAAATGAACCAAGTCCAACCACACTGCTTGCTTCCTACAAGGCCTTTCTTGTGTATGCTGTGTCAATGCTTGGGGACCCCCCCAGAAGAGATCACAACAGGTTAATGCTCCACTGGCAGAGTTTTGTCAACAACACACTCTAAGCAGCCTTGACCTTGAAAGACACCTCAGGAAGAGAAGTTTTTCCACAGGCTTGAAGTCAACTACAGTCGAGTCCAAGAGATTGATAACTCCCCGTGCCAGTCACCAGACCGTGCCTTGGAGCACAGAGCCTGTGCAGCTGCTGACTGACTCCAGTGGGAGTGGGGAGACCTGACCAAGGGTCAGGGAACCAGGTGCCCTAACCTCTTCGAAGGGGCCTTCCGTGTACCTGTTGCCAGGGAGAGCAGATTGTGGGCCATCCTTCCAGAGGCTTTCTATCAGCCATGTAGACAGGACCTGGTAGGCATTTCTGGTTTACAGTGGTGGCTGGTGCCTCTTGTAAGAAGTACATACTGGGAGTTAATGCTAGGTCTAGACAGGCACACCATTTTGGTTGTCAGGGGAGAGCAAATACCCACTTGGACTGTGAACTGGTGGTTGAACATTGGTCACCAAGTTGGTAAGGTCTCTCTGAAGAGGTTCAGCCTTGGGGAGCAGAACTCTGTCACATTCACCAGATCCTGAGGAAATTTCTGCCAGTTGATCCTGAAGTTCCCATCAAGGTCCTAGGATTTGCACATCCCTGTCCCATGTAAACTGTCCCACCTGGCAAAGGAGGTCTTGTGTGTGGTGTGTGTGTGTGTGTGTGTGTGTGTGTGTGTGTGTGTGTGTGTGTGTCCAAACTTGTCTGTAGTCCTAGTTGACCTCCTCAATGCCTCATCCTGTAGGTAGTCTTCCAGGAGCTATGAAGTGGAGAGCCCTGCATCTTTTTATTTGGGACAGTGCTTCACTTCCATAGTAACTGTCTTCCTTTGGCATGGTTTTCTTTTCTGTGTTGCAAAAAGAGTAGCCAATGCAAGAGTGGCAGCGTTAGGTTTTGGCCTTGTAGCAGGAATCCATGCTCCATAGCTGATCCTTGTGGCATGTTACAGTGCATGGTGTGGTGTGTTGGATTCTGTACCCGCGTGCCTGCATCCCAATGTGGTTCCATCCCAGTGTGACTCTGTCCCAGTGTGGCTCCATCCCAGCAAATCACACAGTTCTCTGCCCTATGGCACTGCCCTGGGCTTGCCCAGCCACTGGAGCTGGCATATTGCCTGTTTTCTCTTTTTAGACACGACAGCCACAGTTTGGCCACTAAGACCCACCAGCTGAGGTCTGAGGAAAGCAGGGTGACTCATCCCCCTTGCCCAGGGTCCCAGGAGAATGGGGTGTCCAGCCTGCAAAGCTGCTCTGGCTCCTTGGTGTTGGTTTGCAATAAATCTGTATTTAAGCAGTTCTGGATCTGTGTGTGACATTTAATGCTAAGACACTTCTCTGAGTTCGTTTTCCTTGATTTCTAGCCATGAGTCCCAGACCCTTGTATGTAGTCAACACCAAAATGAGGAGTTCTTGGGTTTTCCATCTGGCCTATGATTGGGGGAGCACAGTGTGGCTATAGATCTTAATGTCATTCAGACAGGTTCTAGGATTCTGCTGAAGAACTACCTTCAGTCAGTGTTTACTAGGTTCCTGGCCTGTGACTACAACTGCTTCTGCACAGCTTCAAATGCCTATCTTTGTTTGTTACCCAAGCCCTTGGAATACCCAAGCCCACCAAGACAACCCTGCACCTATCTCAGAACCCAGTCAGATCGGGTTCTCCTTAGCTGTGCTCTGCCTTATTCCAGAAAATCTGTCTCTGGCCCTACGCACTCTCAGTAGGCAGGGCCTGTGGGTCTGAAAATTCCCAAATGAATGAAAAACACTAGAATTGTCCAGCTGATTCCTGGGACTAGAAATAAACTCCCAGAAAGGAGAGGCATCTTCAGTGATTGGCCCTCAGAGTACAGGAGGGAGCAGAGGCAGTGTTTTGTGTGGAAATGTGTCCAGGAGGCGTCAGCTGCTGTGCAGAGAACTCACTGGCCAGAACACTGTGCTTGGGGAACAGACCCTCACCCCACCTCAAATCTGCTCCCCCAGCAGGCCAGCTGGCAGCTGCTCAGCCAGGAACGAGATGGCCTGCTTTTGTGAATAAAAACCATGAAGTTGTTAGCACAGAGCCTGGCCAGCCCTTGGTAAGTTCTCTCTTTTGGTCAGGGGAGTAGTCCTGCACAGCTGGGGCCCTAGTGGAAAGCTAGGTGTCCCAGGGGACAAGGATTGTTTGTGGCCAACTGAGGTTGATCAGTGAAGTTCCCTGATGGTCTGGGGAGTAGGTGTCTGAGCCAGCCTACTGCCCAGGAGCGTTTATTAGGCTCTGGTGTATCCTACATGGATATGATCTGAAAGCCCGGGTACCTCCTCCCAGTCCTTATTTAAGCTGTGTACTTCTTAGGTGAGAAGAAAAATTCATAATCTTCCTTTTCAACTGTGACTATTGGCTCAAAGTGGTAAGGTGCTTTTTTAAAAAATTTATTTCTTAAGACTGAAAATTGAACAGTCAGACCTTGTCTTCAGAGGGAGGAGAGGGCCCCAACTTCCCTGAATTCTCCATGTGTCAAGTACTCAGGAGAAAGTTTAGGTCTGCCCTCTATCCCTCCATAGTCAAGTGCCCAAGTCCTCCACTATACACACAGAGGGCCTTGTGCCAGGGAAGGCAGGCTGCTGGCTGTAGTCTCATGGCTCTCTGCTGCCCCCTCAGTGGGGTAGTAAGGGTTGGGTATAGGGGGCAGCAGAGCCCATCACAGGGCCAGCTCACCCTTGGGAATTTCCCATGTCTTTCATTTGATGGCTGAGGGTATGTATAGTCTGCAGAGTAGGGACACAAATCATACCCCAGCCCAGGCTGTGGACATCCCTGTGGGGTCATCCTAGGGTTACTGGATGAACTGGTTGGCAGTTAGCTTTTGCCAGTTGGGAAGAACGTTAAGTGCACTTGGGGAAGCTTTTGTGACTGTTGGCTCTGGGTACCCTCGGGTGTATAAGGACACTCTGAGCTGTGTGGCTTGCAGAAAAATGGGGTTGAGATTGCTTTCCAGGGAAAGCTACTGCCTTAGAAACACTAGCAGGAGAGATGCCTAGATTGGGTGGTGACCTTGCCTAGCCTCCTGCTGCTTCTCAGTCCTAGATTTTGCCAAGAGATGGACAAGGCCTCAGAGCCTTCATGCTAGTCACAAGAGCTAGTGACTTTCCCAAGGTTGTATGGCCTGTGACTGAGCAGAGACCCCTGGCCCAGGCCTCCTGCTTCATCACCTCTGCAGGAAAGGCCATGCATGGTTCCTTGCAGGCTCACAGCTCCTGTTGAGCTCAAGCTAGATTTACAGAGCAAGACTAGCTGCTTTCATGTACAGTCCTGGCTGTGATGCATGATTTGAAGTGCCATGATAAAGGTGAGTAGCAGTTAGGATCACCCAAAACACACCACAGGCCCCAGTCTCAGTGGACAGCTCATCATGAGACTGCCTTAGTATGGCTCTGGTCACCCTCATTCCCCAGCCCAAGCCTGGCACAAGGCAGATCCTCCCTTTGGTCCAAATTGTCATTCATCTAAAACCCTCAACAACCCAGATGTGGGTGCCTGAGTGGTCTCCCCAGCACATGAGTGGTTCAAAGCTAGGCCCAGCCTGTCTCCTTGGCTGGCTCTCCATGTGTAGTAGTGGGCACTCATGTACCCCTAAACTCTAGCGTTGAGAGGTAGTCTGCCCCATGATAGTAAGAGTCACCTTAAGCTTTTGATATCCCTAGGAACTTGAGTTAGCACCAGCCCACAACAAAACATCAAGTGATACAACCCAGAAAATGGATCAGTTTTATCTCCTACTTAAGAGAGCTGTCTACACTTGAAGAGACGTCTTTGTCACCCATTAACTCCATAACTGACTTCCCCTACCCTCAAAATGTGAATATACTCCACATTTCCTTCCAGTGAGCTTGTCCCCCTTCTGCTTACCCACATAAGGGTGTTCCAGGAACCTCATCCTCTAAGCTCCTCTGGTGTATGTCCTCCCTGGGTCCCCTCATCCACATCTCCATGTGTCGACCACTGGGACTTGGTGTCCCACAAGCATCTGACATTGGTCGTGCCAACATACACTGCTCTGCACACTCAGGGCAGAGATAGCTAGAACTGGTGTCTCAGGTTTCTGCTCCTGAGTGGACCAGCAAGATACCGTTTGGGAAATAGGCTTTGATGCTTTTAAAAGATGATTTAGCTGGACCATTTAGTAGCTACAACTCATAAAAGCAAGTCAGATTCAGATGTGTCTTCAACACCTCCTACAAGGCACAGATTCTAGAAGTCCTTTAGGGAAAGGGAGAGTTTAGGTAGAGATCTGTAAAGACCACAGTGGCATGGTTGATTGGGTCTCCTAAATCGAAGACTCATGAGCCAATTTTAAAATGTTTCCCTTGGACTGGGAGATAGATGGCTCTATTGGTAAAATGTTGGCTTTTGCAAACATGAGGACCTGAGTTTAGATTCCCAGCACCCAAGTAAAAAGCCAGGCACAGGCACTGGAGAGAGCTCAGCAGTTAAGAGCACTGATTGTTCTTGCAGAAGACTGGGGTTCGAATCCCAACACCCACATTGCAGATAACAACCGACCACAATACCAGTCCAAGGGATCCACTACCCTCTTCTGTCCTCTATGGGTACTGCACGACATGGGTGCACTTACATACATGCAGGCAATACACCCATAAAATAAAATTAAATAATAAAAGCCAGGCTCAATGGTGCACACCTATACTTCAGTGCCAGGGAGGTGAAAACAGGGATCCCGAGAGCTTGCCAGCTAGCCAGTCTAGCCAAATAGGCTGCAGGCTCGGTGAGAAGTCCTGATCTCAAAAACTAAGGTTGGGGGACGGGGGTGGAGAACAGTTGAGGAAGACACCTCATATCAACCTGTGGTTGCAATGAGAAAGCTCACACAAGAAACCTGTTTCTCTCTCTCTCTCTCTCTCTCTCTCTCTCTCTCTCTCTCTCTCTTCTCTCTCTCTCTCTCTCTCTCTCTCTCTCTCTCTCTCTCTTTCTCTCATTGAAAAGTCATTTAGACAAAATTGCTTTCAATGAACTCCCACTGTAACCCTGCTCTGGAGTTTTCAGTCACACATGTTTCTAAGTAGCACCCTTAGTCTCTATATACCCTTCCTGGACATGCCCCCTGCACTCTAGAGCCCCCTCCTCTTTTAGCTACACTGTGAGTCCAAGAACTTGGTCCCTCCTAAGGCCTCTAGCAGCCCCTGAAGGGGCACATGTTAACCTTTAGAAACCCAAGAAGGTCCTTGGTCCTACATGTTGGTATCCTTTAGACCAGCCATGGAATTTTGGTTTTGTCTTTTTTTCCTTTTTGTTTTTGAAACAGGGACTCACTGTGTAGCCTGGATGACCTGGAGCTCACTATGTAGACTAGGCCTTGAACTCAGAGATCCATCTGCCTTTGCATCTTGGGCACTGGAATTAAAACTAGGGAGTTTTTTGAGGCCATGGGCAAAATGGAAATGGTGGACCCTTGTTCAAAATTGATCAAGAATTTAAAAATCTGTTGTAGCACAGCCTAGCCAAGTGCAGGGCCTGGCAACTGCCACTGGAGGCCTCCAGCGCTAGCCTCTTCTGCTGGTAACAACTCTGTGGTCTGGCTGGGCCTGTGCAAGCGGGCAGCTGCTTTGAGCTGGCTCTGCCACCCCCACCTCACGACCTTATAGCTGTTGGGAATCTTAGGACACCCCCACCCCCCAGTAGCCTTGTCTCTAGCTCAAGAAGACAACCAGAATTTTCCATGATGTCATTATGGCTGCTCAAGTATTTTAAAAATTGTATAAATAAACATCTTTGCCACTTGCCTTCTCTTTCACCCTTGCCTCTGCAAGCTGTCTCTGGTCTCTGCAGCTTCATTCCTGAGGCTTTCTTGAGTGCATACTGGCTTAACCACCTCTTGCTGTTGAGTATTTGAGTTGGTCCAGATTTCTCTCAGTCATTTCCTGCAGGTGGAGTTGTGGAGTCTCACATAGGCCCCTTCGCTATCTCATGACCTTAGTTTTTTTCTTTTTTTCTTTTTTACTTTTTTAATGGTCTTTTTATATTAGTCAGACATCCTTTGATATTTTTTCCAATTATTTATGTGAACTTTAATTGCATTTTTGTTTTGTTTTTGTGTTTTCTTGAGGCAAGGTCTCCCTGTAGCCCAGATGGCCTAGAACTTGCTATGGAGACCAGGCTGGCCTGATTCTCACAGAGATCTGCTTGTCTTTCTGCCTCCCAAGTGCTGGATTTAAATGTATGTGTCACTGTGCCCAGCCCTCTAGTTGCATTTTTATCTAGCATTTTCTTAGAAGCTGAGCATATTATACTGTGACCTATAG